TTAATTAATATTTTACATATTTTTAAAATAATAAAAAAGCATAAAAATCAAAAGAAAAAACACCAAAAAATATTGACGAACGAAGCCTAAGTATGTGACGTTAACATCGTTTTCAATTTATAATACTTTTAAGAGATGGCTCAACTAATTAAAAATTTAATATTTGAAGTTAAAAATCTTATATTAAATATTAAATTGGGAAATACTCGAAATACCTTTCGGTGTAACACTTGGTTCAACACCCTTCAGTTTAATAATTAAAAATATAATATAAATACAATTAATTCAATTAGTTCATATATTTTGTGTGCATGATTTTATCATTATACTTATCTGTTTTTAATTTTAGACTAAAAAATAATAATTTTTTAATGATTAAACCGGAGAATATTGAACCGAGTGTTAAAATATAAGGTGTACCAATCACTATACTATTAAATTAGATGGAGAAGGATTTGAATAAATGAGAGATTATTCTCTCTTGTATAATCTATTATTAGATATCAATGACATATTAATCCAAGTATAAAGAGTTTAATTCTCATTAAATAAGATTTTAAATTCAAGTTTTATAAATGAAAAAATTAACGTTGAGAAAACATCTCTCTTATGAGATCTGATACGACTTAATTTTAAATTAATTGATACTTAATATGGGTTTTAGATACCAAATGATTAGTATTAAAAAAAATCATTAGATATACTAATAATAATAATAATAATAATAATAATAATAATAATAATAAAAGGTCACCTCCAATATATACTTGCCAGTGTCTTTTTTTCTTCCATATCAATTCAAACGTTACATAGGCACTAAATAAGGAAACTGAAAAAACACAAATTTTTTTTAAGCTTATTTGTTCTCCACGTCAAAATTGATAAGCAAAGTAAATATTACGCAATCATGACAAGTGATGAATATTGATTTCACATGTAGAGCTTCTGCAACATAGACTTTTTTACTTATGCTGAGAAGTTAAGGGATATTTTTTTTTCTTGAAAGTAATTCACAGACTTATATGTGTAAAAAATAAAGTTATAAGTTCAAGAACCAATTAACAAACAAGTAGTGGAGCTCCTTGCTTATAACTTCATGCAAGAAACATGTATATAAAAT